GTTCATTATTAGTTCATGTTAGTTCAGATCCATTAAAAATAATATAACAGGTACAACTTTTGATTTTGATACAGTATTAGTAAATGTTAAAATTAACTAAGATTAATAAATGATTTCTAAGTATTTTTAGTGTCAATGTTAACAAATAAATTGACTAATGGATGGAACCTTGCTAACTAGCTACAATGTTACCGAACATTAATAAAAAGTTGGAACATTTTCAGTCAATGTCTAAAACAGATTAAAATGTAAAAATGTTTATGTTTGCAAATAAATAGCCTATTGCATTTTTAAGTATTTGGTGCTGAGATAAACACCAAAGCGAATACAATCTGAACGTCTCTTAAAATAACATTTAAATCTTTTCTTTGGCATTGTGACATAATAAAAAAAGTGAAAAAATATGTAGCAGGGACTTGGTTCTATCCATCGTGGTTGATTGGATGGGGGCAGATCTGAAGGCAAGTTTGCAGTCAATGGGCCTTTTTCACTTTTCTGGGGTTCTCAGAAGCAGAAGTCATCATAGATGGGTAACCCTATAGTGGTGAACGTAAACTACAACATATATCATTTTTGTGTTCCCATTTGCTCCAATAGAAAATCCATGATAGCATTTCTAGGTGAGTGAAATATCGAAATGCTGTAGAAATATCGTCCATTGTTAGTTCATGTTAATTGGTGTAGTTAACTAATACTAACAAACAAAACCTTATTGCAAAGTGTTACCAAAATATATTTTGTTGTTCTGACCTGTACTGAAAAACAGCATGCTGTTTGGAACAAGAAGGGTGGTCGATAGGAATGTCTGCAATCTTCCTCTGTCGTCCAAGTAGATAAGCACTCTGTCTGTGGATGTACATAACTGGGAGCGGCTCGTCGTTCTTAAAGGGGTACAAACGCCATCTTCTTTTGGGTATGCGGGCCTCGGGAGGCTCATTATACTTGATCACCACCCCTCTGAATGTATTTGTATCTTCCACCAAGGCACCTGATAGCTCAAAGTTGGGCTTTTCCTTCTCAGCTGCAGGGGCGGAATCACTATCCTGTTGACCACCAAAGTCCCGTTCCTCGTCGTCTCCACTGCCACTCTGAGCCTCCTGCCTGAGGCGTTTCTCTCGCCGCCGTTCATTATGTCGTTCTCTCTCAGCCTGCTGTTGCTGTTGTAAGTGGGCATCACGTTCTCTTCCCCTATTTCTGTCCTGTTCTCTGTCTCGTTCTCTTTGCCGTGGACGCTCTCGGTCCCTTTTCATTCTGCGATCATTTGAATCATCCCTTCTGTCACGAGGCCGATGACTTTCGGGTCCTCTGTGATCATCTTGCTCCTGTAATAAGAACGGAATCTCCTTACAACCTCCACCTGGTATGCCTTTTAGCAGCGTGTAATATATATATATATATATATACACACACATAAAATACAGAAATATAACAGTGGGCCTGTAAAGATTTTTTTTTAATTTATAAAAGGTTATAAAGCAAGCTTACAGAATTAAACTTGTATTTTAAACTTCTATTAAAGAAGATAATTTACTATATGTATGACTATACGGAGTCTGTAATGTAACTATAAAAAAATATGTATATAAAAAACATAAAATATCCCAAAATACTAAACATCCAAAATTTAACATGTTAAAAATGTGTATTTTAAAATCACTTTAAAAGGAAATAATAATATAGCCTATTATATATTAAGGGTCAAATAAATAATGTTTTACAATCACAGTTTTTCCCACTGAGGTCCTGACAAGTTTAACTGTCAAAACCCTCTGTGGCCGCCTAAAAGGACTTTGCCTTTAATCACTTCGAAAGACAGTTTTCTCATGACACACGAGTTGATCTGTTTCTGTATTGAGCTCACCCGCTTTAACCTGACGTCAGTGCTGCGATGCGGGCTTCTGCTGGTCCGGGGTCGAGGTGACCTCTCCTGCTGTCTGCCCGATGAACGGTCTCTTCTCGCAGGCGATCTGTCCTTTCTTCTGACTGGTGATCTAACGTTACAAATACAGTTCAGGAAACATTTTGTAGAAACCACTGGCTACATATAAAATAATAACCTGTTGATCCTCCCCACATACTACAATATTTGTTCGGCCAATCATTTTATTCAGCGGAGCTGTCATTTAAGATAAACAAAGTGTGAGGCTGCTTATAAACCTGCTGTCGCGTCGTCTCGGTGGAGGGCTGTTGCTGCCGCGGCTGGAGCCTGAGCTGGATCGACGTGCCCGCGGAGGCCGCGCGGGACTAACTTTTTCTTGCTTGATTTTTGTCTTTACAACCCGGCCAGGAGATTCTCTGTGTCGTCTCCTGTTATCCATTATGAAATAAGCTTGCCTATTAGCTTCGTAAAAAGGAAAAGTCGTTCATATCAAAGGAGAGTAAGAGGAGAACATGAAAACAGATTCAAACCACATTTACGAAACTCCCATGTACACTTCCGGTCCAATGATTGTACGCTTAAGAAATATGTCCCTCCTTTTCTATGGAAAACAATTTAGTTCCGCTTTCTTCAGGGCATCAATGTACCGAGTTTAAAAAAAAGAGAGAGATTATCGAGAAATTAAATAAGAAACATTTTTAATAATATACAATAAACAATATTTTACAATTTTAACAGGTTTAATTACCCAAATAGTAAAATAAAGATAAGAAAAATGGAAATAAATGAATAAAGTGTTAAAGCGTATTAAAAAACAAAAACAAGTATATAACGAAAAGATGTAAAAGGATGTCTGTTCACTTATCAATCAAAATCATATTTAATTTTACATGCGCCAAGTCTTTTTGCTTTAACGTGCAACTTAACTTACGTTAGTGCCACCAAGTGGTGAGTTCTGTCTTATTAGAAAAATAAAATACCACAATATAAGTTATTTGTGTAATTTATTTTAAAAGGCTTAAGTCATAAATATGTAATCGGTAAATTTGGCAGTAGCCTATAGTTAGTAAAGAATGTATTTCCCACCATTCCTGCGGACTGCAGATCCTTGATGGGACCATGGATGGGACGGACAAGCCCGGTTGTTATAGCAACGTAACTGTTAAACAACGAAACGAAACTTCTCCAGTGTTACCGAGTGAATTTGAGGTCTTCCTAAAACAAAACGCAGACTATCCTTATAAGCATGATTACTCCGTCTGACTCCTTGTTGAAGTATGATCATCCGGTGTTAGTAAGCAAAAATAGAGAGAGGAAGTCTCCAAAGGTAAGCAAAGCTATTGAATGTAAACGTTAATAAACGAATAAAAACAAATTTGCTAAAGTTAAGTATACATTGTCTTTGTAATAAAGCATTAACACTTGATTTTCATCTCTTCCTTCACATTTGACAGAGTCGCCCTTTGAAAGTGAGTCCCCGACAGATGGTTGAACTTGACACCGGCCCGGTACCACCTCCACCCAAACCCAAGAGTCCCTCAGCGGATGCCAGCAGCAAGCAGCAAACCGAGGAGGTCCTAAATGCCATTCTACCACCAAAGTAAAACAAACCTCTTACAATAATTAGTTGAAGTTTTCTTCAATTGGGTGCTGATACCACACATTAATGTTTAAAATGTTGAGTTTAGTAAGATAAATAATAATAATAATAATACTTATATTCAGTAAGGGCACATTCAATTGATCAAACGTGAAAGTAAAAACAAAGAATTTTCAAAAGATTTCTATTTCAAAGAAATCCTGTTCTTATGAACTTTCTATTCATCAAAGAATCCTGAAATAAATGCATCACGGTTTCCTCAAAAATATTAACGTTAAGCAGCACAACTGTTTTCAACATTGATAAAAATCAGAAGAAATGTTTCTTGAAAAGCAAATCAACATATTAGAATGATTTCTGAAGGAGCATGTGACATTGAAGAGAAGACTGGAGTAATGATGCTGAAAATTCAGCTTTTAAAAAAACATTTTTATAAAAAATAGCTATCCCCAAACCTTTCAATGGAACTATATAAATCATACAAGTGGTTATGTTGCAGTGAATGGATGGAGGATAACCAGCTATGGGTGCAGCCAGTGTCCAGTGCTCCATGCACACGAATGGATGTTATTAATTTGCAACAACAGCTGGACAAAACCATGCAGGAGAGGCAGGCCAGAGAGACCGGCATCTGCCCAGTCCGCAGGGAGCTCTACTCTCAGTGCTTTGGTAAAAATATATTCTAAATGAAGTGTCATGTTAATAGTTCTTGACATTGATTTACAGGACACTCCCTCTTTCAATCTCTTAGATGAGTTAATCAGACAAGTCACCATTAACTGTGCCGAGCGGGGGCTCCTGTTGCTGCGAGTAAGAGATGAGATTCGCACGACCATCGCTGCCTATCAGACTCTGTATGAGAGCAGTGTGGCCTTTGGCATGAGGAAAGCACTTCAGGGGGAGCAGGGAAAGTCTGACATGGAGAACAAGGTCCTTAAAAGGATAGTTAAATCAAAAACTTGCTTTCTTCTCCAGAACACACAAAAGGATATTTCAAATATATATATATATATATATATATATATATATATATTTCCATATAATGAAAGTCAGTGGCATCCAAACCAAATTTGTTTTACTTTTGTGGGGGGAAAAACACAAGACATTATTCAAACTATCTTTTTTGTGTGTCTGTGTGTTCTGCAAAAGGAAAACCATTATCTTTAAAACTCTTTTAAAACTAGATTTCAGAGTTGGAGAGCGAGAAGCGAGATTTGGAGAGGCTACTGAATGAGCAAAAGGCTAAATGTGAAGCAATCGAGAGACGGGAAGCAGAACGGCGCGAAATCGAGGAAAAGAAGCATGCCGAAGAGGTCCAGTTCCTTAAACGAACCAACCAGCAACTCAAGGTAAAGCAAAGATAATCATAATCAGGATTTCTGTCATTACTTTTTCAGACTCTAAAGTGTCCATTTATTTTTTAGACACAACTGGAGGGCATAATCACCTTGAAGAATAAAGCCTAAATATCATTACAATATTAATACACAAATTATTCAATTTCAAAGAATAAAACATTTATAAAAGCACCTGTTCTGAGTATTTATTCTTTCTTTTTTTTTCTCCAAACAAAAAGACAGAACAGACATAGATGCACGGGTACATGATCAGCCATTCAACACTGCTGAATCAGGACACATAGTCTTAAGTTAAAAACTTTGAAAATGCACAGTGCTGAAATGAATTGTAGTCAGTGTTCAATGAGAATGGCTGGAGCCACAGTATGAATAAAGTGCATTGGTACGATTGCATCACAGATCAACCAAACCTTGACCTTTACACAAATCAGTGTGATTCCACTCCAGATGTTCCAATTTAGCCACCGACATGATGATGGAAACGGGGATTGATGTGACTGGGTTTCTGACCAGGTCTTATCGCTTAGCTCGTTTGGATTTCTTGCCATCCAAGGGCATTTTTCGGTTCTTATTCTTGTTCTTGACATTGTGCGTCTCATAATAGCGGACCCCCACTTTCTTAACTTTCTGTGCACGCTCCAGGCTTCTTTTCTGTTTGGGTGAAGTAGTTCAACAGAGAGAAAGATATTAGTTTGGTCTCAAATTTATTTAACACGTCTTTACTATGGAATCAGAAACAATGACAGCAGAAGTGGAGCTGGGAGAATAGTGCATACCTCTTTAGATGTGAGTTTGGTAGCCTGGGCAGGCTCCTCATCTTCCATAGCTTTTCTCTTTTTGCCCACTGTCACAGCTGGAAAACAAAAAGAGGTTGAGTGTCTTTTAAAAGCACCATACTTTTATTTCACAACGATGCATTAAAATTGTCAAAAGTGACCGTAAAACATTTATAATGTTAAAAAGATTTCTATTTTAAATAAATGCTGTCTTTTTACTTTTTATTTACCAAAGAATCCTTAAAAATCCATCACGGTTTCCACAAAAACTGTTTTCAATGTCAATAATAGTAAGAAGAAATGTAGAAATAAATAAATGTAGAAGTTTTGTTATACAATATTACTTTTTCTACTGTATTAAGTACAGTGTTGTGCCTGAACGCGTTCAATGAACGATAGTTCATGAATGCGTTCATATTTTGGGCAAACGTGAACTGAAGGTACTGTATTACTGCTTGATAAACGTTATTGAGAACGCGTTCATTCTGGTGTGTGTGAATGCACGCTCTCTCAGTTTAACTTCGTTCAATAGGGTGGCAAATTTCTATAGAGCCTTCCAGGCGAAAACCCGGGCTAAAGCACACGTAAACAGGCCTTAATATGTAGCGAAAAAACACCCAATCTGGCAACACAAGACACCAGTGTCGCATCATGGCCACCGTCGACAAAGCAGCGAGCTAGGAGGCGTCGTAATGATCATTTAAACGGATTTTATGACGAGGTCGGGGAGGAAGGGAAAATTCTTACATTTCTGTGCAAACTGCCCATCAATAAAATAATTGTTGTCTGTGGTTGTATATGGGCTGTGGCAATAAATAAAAATAAAAAAAGAAGCTTGCAACATATGGAAAAAAAGAACTATGAATGAACTTGTTCATTTTAAAATGTGCGAACTGAACTTTGAACTAGTTCATGTAGGAAGTGAACTTTCTCAACAATGATTAAGTATTACTATATTTTGATTAAATAAAGACAGCAAATAGTAAGCATTAAATTTAATTGAAAAGATTAAAAAAAAATCTTACACCAAAAATTCTATAAAAACATAACTTGATGTATAAAAAAATTATAGATGTACATTAAATATGCAGTTCTAGCAACCATATATTTTTTAATACACAAGCATTTGGCATCAACTTGTGCTAGTTGGGTGGGTGTACCTTTCCGTTGCAGATTCTGCTTTGCTGTGGTTTCAGTGAAAACCTTTTCAGAAAGGCCTTTAGGAATGCTGTAAAAACATCAAGACAACACATTAGAATATCAATAGATAATAGCGAAACATTGAACTCACTTTTCAATACGAGTTTAAACAAACCGTATGGCGGAGAAGTGCTTTGACTTGGCACGATCAAGAAACTGTTTCAATTTGGCAATCTTCATATCCATCTCTTTATTCACTTCACGTGTGCTCTTTTTCTCTCCTGTGGTCGGGGGGCTGGAAACAGAGGATTCTTCTTCCTGTAGTTCTCCACTCTGCTCTTTTTCCTCATCCTCGTCATTTTCCTCATCTTCCTCATCTTCTGAACCCAAGGGTTCCAGGATGTCAGGGATATCGACAGGCACAAGGTCCTCCTCGCTGAACTCCGGAGCGACGTTTAATTTGCCAAAGTTCTGCTTGACGTTACTGAAGATTTTCTGCATCTCCTCTTGTTTCTGTCTCAGCAGCTTTTGATCTTCCTGCTGGCTAGAAGAGGCCCCCTCCACATCCTGAGCTTCAAGTCTGTTTTCCAGCTCTTCCTTCGCAGCCGTTTCCAGCATCAGTTTTGCTTTGTACTGATTGGAAAGATCAAGTGTCAGTTTAAGACTATAAATGTTTAAAAGTGCATTAGGGTCTGCCCGTATAAAGACTGGCAAAATTCAAGAAATTTTCTTGGCCACAGCGACTTGAAAAAGGATTTGTACCAAGTAATTCAATATGCATTAAGGAAGTTACATGTAAACAAAGTCTTCAGAGGTCTTTTAGAACACAATGCTCTAATTTTACAAAAGATTTCAATGGAGACTGAGCTATTGTTTTACTAAAAGAATCTAAACTTTGTGGGAAATTAAGAACATTTACCTCTTCATCCATCTCGGCCCCAGGCGGCTTTACAAAAAAGGGGATGCGTCCCCTCTGCCAATCGTTCAAAACCATTTTAGACACGGTAGACAGATCTGGCTCTCCACCCTGTATTACAAGGACAACACAAAATACCAGTCGTTACAGCACAGACATGTACGGTATTTAGACAAAGACATGTGAACTGACCCGTGTAACCAACCTGTAGGCCAAAATCCTTTTATAAAATGTGAGTGGTTTTGGCACGAGAGTATTGAAAATGTGGCTATTTGAACCTTAATTTAAATGTTTTCCACCCGTTTAAAGTAAGCAAACTGTCACATCTCAATCGGACACGAGAGGAACGAATAAACAAATGTGCCGCGAGGACCGAGCTGACAGTTCATTTTATCAGATACTCCACAATCAGAACAGACCTTAAGCAGTTTTCCGGTGCGAAAGGCGAGCTTTTCCAGGAAATCCTCGGCGGAGCTCCAGGATGGAATGCGGTATGTCTTCTGGATGTACTCCGCTTTGGCCCTCTCCAACACCGCTCCGATGTGATCCTCCGGAGTTCGGATCTTCTCCACTTGGACCTAAAAGCAACAGATATAAAACAAGTGGATGAAGTGGCTGGCCGCTGGGGTTGCAAAATCCGAACGGTTGACTTTGAGAGTCCAGGCCATCGTACCACTCCCTTCAGCACAATGTCGGTCTCGCTGTCGTCGGAGGGGTAGACGACGCCGGGACAGTCGATGAGGAAAAGGCGTCTCATTAGTGTGATATACTGCCAGACCTATCGGACAGAAACAAAAACGGTTGGTTGTGGCATAAAGATTAAGCTTCAACCAGTCCATACATTCATCCATTTAAGAAACCACAAGACCGAAAATATTTCAATATAATGAACTGCATTTAAACAAATGCGATTTATAATCATTTGTGTCAAGCTAGCAAGCAGTCAGTTAGCTTTTGAGTTAATAAAAAAGAAAATAAACAGTGATTGAAGCAAATGTAAAAGTATTATAATCAATCAAATCAATCTATTTACTCTGTTTTTATAAGAAAAGTGGAAAGAAAACGTCTAATAATTGAAGAATCACCCATATCAGGGGTACGCAAGGGAGATTTTAAATGATACAATTTATCATTTAAAACATAAACAGAAGAGCGTAGAAGTCCAGATTTGTTTAGAATTTGATTTCAATCTGGCCTCTGTCAGTAATGTGTTTTTCCTTCGCCTTGAACTTTCACTCACTCTCAGTTCCATGTTTGTAAAATGAGAGGAAAATTTTGACAACATAAAAAAGTAATTTCACACAAAAACATGAATACACAAAAGTAGCAGCCAAAACCAAACTGCTGGAAACTTAAGCCATCCAAAATGTTAACATGTCAGGAGCTGGCAGGTAGTCTTGCACTCCTACAAAACTACACTACTACAAAACAAATTCAGGATCATTTAAATCAGTCATTCCCAAAGTCGGGGTCCCGACCCACACGTGGGTCGCGGGAGATTTTGTCTGGGTCGCCAAGTCGAGCACTATTTTTCAGTGTGTTGTAGGCTACTCTCTAGATATGGGCTATTCAATTGGCGGCCCGCGGGCCAAGTGCGGCCCGCCAATCATCTCCATACGGCCGAGGGCACCCCAACCTCCCTCTCCTCCTATTTTCTGGTGGTGCCGCGCGGCTAAATTTGGTTAGATATGCGCGTGGACGCAGTGGCGCGTGCAGCTGGATGACTATACGCACGCACTGTGTGTGTACCATGAGCACTCCGACTGACCTGAGAGAAAAGTTTACAGTCCGAATATTTCAGCAGTTTTTATGTGTGTCCCGTATTTCTGTCGACTGAACCAGCGATAATAATCATTCGTTGGTTTGATTATTTCCTTTCCATGAATTGGCCATTGGCCAAACGCGCGTGCATAACGGTCTGAAACGATTCGGATTTTTTTCACCTGAAGCGGTTTCTCGGTAAGTAACAACAAATAGAGAACAAAATAGCGCTGGTTTCAGTCGTTTCACTAGTTTACTTTGAACTAGGCAGCACGGCCCAGTGGATAACGGAACGCAAAGCTTAAAGGAGTTGCGTTTACTCCCGGTCCCGGACACTATTATTAAACAACTTGCGCGACATCCCTATAAGAAGCGTCGGACACGTACTCCTCTCTCTTACAAACCACACATCACTCAATGATTTTAACTAGTTTTAAATCGGATGAAACAGTCTTAACATTCCCAACACTACTGATGAGAAAAATAGAAGAAACATGAATAAAGTTAGAAGACTAAATGCCCTAATCACCCCCCTTACAAACATTTACCATGTAATAGCCTGAATGTAATAATTTACCATGGTTTGGGCATAAATGTGGAATATTTATATTGAATGCTATGTTATAGTCATTTATATTGCCTTAGATTTATTAGGGGGGTAGAGGAATATGTATTTAATCGTGTGTGTAGTTTTTTTTTTTTTTTTTTGTGCCTGTTTAGGCATTTTTATGCAGTGGTAGTGAGCCATGCATGGTTACAAAGTCTCAGTGTCAGAATATTTTAATTTAAGCCTATAATAATTATTATAGTAAATTATGTACACTGTAACTATGAGAATATGAAAACAATGAGATGCCCTGTCAACTTTTCCTTTCTCATTTCACCTCTGCATATTGTCAACAACAGGTTAAACAAAAAAAGTGCTTTGTCAAATATCTGTATCTCTTTTAAATAGTTAACTGGAAGCTTAAAAAATGACCTTAAAAAAATGGTCATACATATTTTGTTAATGCATAAATTCTCTTCGTGATATATGAACTATATGGGCCTAATGTTTTTTGGGTCACAAGGATTTATCGACTTTAAAATGTGGGTCGCCAGAAAAAAAGTTTGGGAAACACTGATTTAAATGACCCTTAAAAGAAGAGTCGCTCAATCGTCTTACGTTTACGATCAGTACGTAACAACTACAAGTGGATGTTATAGGAACAGCTCACCAAAAATGAAAAATCTTAAATAAAAGGCGACTTGAAATGCCAAACCCAAAATATCTTCAATTGGTTTGGAACAACTTGGGAGTGAGTAAATGACAATTTTCATTTTTGGGTGAACTTCTAAACGATTATCAATACAAATTTAACAAGACGGTTGGCGCATTGCATTTTCAAGTGCATGTTATAATCGACCGAAACTCACAGCACACGCAGAGATGAGTTTGTGTGGAGCAGCATTTACAGCGAACCAATCAAGCCACTCCCAGACACTCAAATCTTTTGGATCAAGCGCTGACCGCATGGTAAAAGAACAAAATATTTTAAAAGTATTTGAAAACACAGAAAGCCATATAAATATTACAAAAGGACAAAATCCCAACATCCCAAGATGAAAACTAAAAATGATTCTGAGGCCTTACCTTAGTCTCACCAGCAAGGGGTGCCACGTTACAGACTTTTTTGGAGCGCAGGGTATTGATAACAGAGCTCTTTCCAACATTGGGGTAACCAATGAAACCAACGCTGATCTGCTTTTTGTCTGAGTGGAGCTTAGAAAAAAATCAACATGGACATGTTAATAGTACATTTTGACGGTAGCAAATAAATAGAAGAGTTACATGCATATTGTCAAGTCCTCTGATATAATGTCGGTTTCATGGTATTTGCACACATTGCCTCTCACATTTCACTATTCATTTTTGAAAGGGGGGCCCCTGTCCAAAAAATGAAGACGTTATACAAAAATGTACAAAAGCCTCTTAAATGTCATTACACCTTCAGATTTATATTGCATGCATGGTAACTGGGATATTTTTGTGCCGGTGTTTTCTAACTCCTAAAAAGTGTCTTGACATATAACTCTCACAAAATTTATGTTACGTAAGCCCACACTCCTTTTTAGTATTTCCAAGTTTTTGTTTAGGGCTGTGCTCCCAAAAATAGCTCAGAGGCAGATGTGAAGACAGGAGAGGAGCCCAATGGGAGGGTGGGGAGCATCTGGTACTTGACAAAACCATTGCTGTCTATATCGGTTTCCATTACGGACCATAAAACAGGCTGATCTTGTTCTAAAACTGCGGTTTGAGTAGATAAACGTTGTGGAGCCAAACTGCTGTGTATTTAAAACCTGCTGCCCCTGGTTTGCATGGCATGATGTGTATGATGTGAATGCACATAAAAATAAGCTGTAACTGTTTAAGTCCTTACCTTGCCAAACTGCCGCAGGAGCTGGATAAGGGAGCCCTTACCGAAGGAGTTGGTAAGGCTGGCGTGAAAGGCCAAAGTGGGGTGTTCCTGAGAAAGAACTGCAACCCAGCGTTTCTACAACATACATACATGTATAAGCAAGGATCCGTAGAATGATCCTAAGTGAATGATCATAGTTAGACAGTTTATAATGATTTATTAAACAGCCATACGTAATTTTTTTTTTCCAAAATCCATCCCTCTTTATAAATCAGGGTTCATCTTAAATTCAAGAGCATATTCGTATAAAATGTGTATTTTAATATACTTATAATTGTTTGTAGCCAGCTACCCTGACTATATCATGGTGAGAAGAAAGTGAAAGATATAAATCAATGAAATAAAAATATAGATTTTTTTTTTTAATGTTTCTTTTTGATAAATTCTAAAACTAAATCAGTTTCTGCCTTTATAAATCCCATTTTGTTCATTACTTGTGATGTAGGATGAAATTCATGGGATTTAGGATCAAATCTGGTCAAATGTGGGCTTTCTAAATATTATGTCGCAATGTCTAGACACTAGAAGTGATCTATGAAATGAAATGTTTTTGATTAGACAGAACTGATAAAAAAAATAAATTAAAAAAAAAAACACGGGCTGCCCAACAAGAGTCACTGCAGAATGATAAGTGATTCCCTCTCAACAACAAAAATAATGGGTTTCCCAATCATTTTCCTGTTAGGTTTACAAAAGATCTGTCATAAGTCTAAAGGAGGTGGGCAAATGTTTCTTCGGCTTGAATGCAAAAGTCTATAAACAGCTGGTAGAGCTCCTTCGTTTCCTGTTGCTGCATTTCAGAATCGCCAATAACACAATTTACAAACAACAAGAATTATAGATGTGAAATATTGGAAAACATGTGTCAGGGAAAGAACTTTTAACTGGTTAACTATTACAAAAGTTGGGGCAAGCCAATTTAAACATGCCTGTCTGTCAGTGAAACAAACTCCAGAGTTGGGATAATTGAATGTACGACAGGACACATTGCAGAGAGTGGCCTTTTTCCAAAAACCTAGTGAGCTGCCTTGCTGTCTACATAGGCGGCTCCATACATCCTAATTATCCAGGAAAATTATCCACAAAAGCATCCTTTTTGGAGAGCTCTACACAGGCAGGAACTTACGTACTTGCTAAACTAACAACATGATACTCTAATAGGCATAAAAATAGATAACACATAAATATGGGATTAAAGTGTTTTTATTAGATTTAACCTTAGTTTATTATATATAATATAAGTATATTTATCATTAAGACTTCTAACATTTCTACCACCAACTTAAATACATATCAAAAGAGCTAAAGTTATCATAACGCTAAGCTAATAACACTAATAAAAATACACTTTACACACAAAATGTTGGGTAAATAGTGTTTTTGTTTTGTATTACCAATATCTTCATTCCGAAATACAATTTTTCTCCTGAATAAGTAGATTTATCATCAAAATTTTGAAACATTTTCCTTCAGCAACACAGGCTACGTTAGAATGTTGCTAAGCTAACGACAAAATACTCTGACACATAGCATAAACAAATGCTGGAAATAAATATGTTTAATAATATTTTTGAGCTAGATTTAGATTTGTTTTTAATTTAGGCACTGTTCTGGGCTGACACTGTTTCTGCCATTTTTGATTGGCCTTTCCCCCAACCTAGCTTACTGAAGTGCACTTTGCTTGCATTCTACATTGAGTTTCCCTAAGTGAAGGTAACTTAAAAAGCATCAGGAAAATCAGTCCAGTCTACATAGGCAGCTCAACAGGTCTTGGAACTAGTATTGAAGTATTCAGCTTTATTTTCTTACCGTAACCCATGTGGGAATGAGGTCACACTTGTTAAGCACAAAGATGAGGTGCTTCCAAGGTTTCTCTTTCTTTAGGTAGGACTCAATGCTCTGGGAACGAGTGCCCATTGGGTCCCGAGCATCTAGCACCTGGATAACGACGTCTGAAGAGTCGATCACCTGTGCAAAACATACTTCATTTTAAGATGTGGCATCATCTGGCAGAACTGTGTGTTTTTTTTAACTATGAAAGAGCAAGTTGTTGTGAGATGTTAATAGCTACCTTATACAGCTCGCCCCAGATCCTCTTTGACTGACCCTTCTTGAAGATTTCCTCCCGAGCCTCATCCCTGCAGTGATGGCGAAATGAAATGGCTTTGAGGCATTCCAGTTATTTCATAATATATATACCCATTTACTATACAAACAGGTCATAGTTTCTGCAGTAGGGATGTACTGAGCTATAGGAACTTTAGAAATCACCCCACTCACTTGACTCCGCTGTCCTCAGACACCAAATCACGGTCTTTCTCAGTACTGTAGCTCTGAGCCGAGACCTCTGCCTTTTCAGCAAAGTCCTTCAGCTCTCCGACAGTCAAGTTGGGCCTCTTTCTTTGTGCCTTTGGCCCAAAAGTGGTCTCGAACGTCTCTGTGTCCAGAATGTGCACCTTGGAGTTCTACAAGAACCAGCAGAACATCAATTGACATACATGTCATGAGAACTGTTATATCCTCCTACCATGATCTCCACAACTTTAGGAATTTCTTTGAAGAGTAATATGTTCTTTCAGCTCTTGTAAGCATTTTTACAGCTATCTAAAATTTGCATTTTGACAGCTATCCATTCCTAAGAGGAAAGAAGACCCAATAATTTATTGGAGAGCGGAGTGTACTCAACACATTTTATGCCATAAAAGAGTATGATGTGACTTTATTTATATTGCATATAAATCTATTTTTTATTTTTTTTTTTATCTGATATTTAGGAAAGACTGTTTGATGAAGGGCTGAAATCTGTTTGTTTAGACAGTGTAGTCTAGTCTGTATCTACTATAATAAAGATTTAGGCGTCAACAAGATGCTAAATGACAAAATACACTTAACAAGGTTAAATTTGTATTTGGTCACAGCTCCAGAAAGCATTGCACACTTTGTAACATCCCAAACAGAGAAAACTTTGATCCGATCTAGACGTATTATTCCAAAAAGAAAAATCTGATTTGTAAATACAAGGTTTACATATACATAATTGTATATACACTACTGTTCTTAAGTTTGGTGCCAGTAAGATTTAAAAAAAAATAAAAAAATACTTCTTTTCAAGCAAGGATGCATTAAATTGATCAAAAGTAATAGTAAGGACACTGACATTGCTGTAAAAAAAAAAATCAACTTAAAATGAATGCTTTTCTTTTTAACTTTCTATTCATTAAAGCATCTTGAAAAAAAAAACAATGTATCATGGTTTACACAAAAATATTAAATCAAACTGTTTTTAACATTGTTGAAATGTTTCTTAGGCAGCAAATCAGCATATTAGAATGATTTCTGAAGGATCATGTGACACTGAAGACTGGAGTAATGACACTGAAAATTAATAAATAAATTACATTCTAAAACATATTAAACTATAAAAAAAGTTGTTTTTAAATGTAATCATATTTCAGAATATGATTGTATTTATTGTATTTTTGATCAAATAACTGCAGCCTTGGTTAGCATAAAAACCTTCTTTTAAAAACATTTTACAAATCTTCCCGACCCTAAACATTTGAGCGGCAGTGTAGCTAGAATTTAACTACCATTTTAACAAAAAGGCAGTTAATTTTACAGTGCTGAAAAACAAATATTCCTATATCAAGATGACAAATCCTAAGAACAATGAACGAAACATCTTACACCTTTAACTTCACCCTGCTAAATTGCAATCTGTAATGGCCTTAAAAAAAAAAAACTTAAAAAAAAAACGGCCATACCACAGTTGCAACAGAGGATGGAATAAAACGACAAGCAATTTACAGATCTTGTCAAAGCCAGTAACATTTCTCGTAAGAAATTCTACTTCTGCTAAGATTGCATTTCTTCGGAACAATTGACGTCGATGATAAAAAACAATCTGATTTGAGGCTAACCAGTAACCACCACATCACAACATGTTCAAAATATTTCTGAGAAAGAAAAAAAATGTGCGCAAACAATGCCCATTATGGCACACGCAAGAGGAGCTGCTCAGACACCACAAATCAAAAAGAGAGGAAAATATTGCCAGTTCCCTGCAACCAAGGTTGAATATAAGAACAAAAACATAGTAAGTGTCACAGTTCTGAGACGAATAAAAGTAGAGTGGAGAGTTCATTACACAAGGTCCTAAAAGGTTTTGCTCACACATGGAACAGTTTAGATCCTGAAGCGAATCAACAACAGTTGCAGAAGGAACATGAAGAACAGAGCAAAACACAACATTTTTCTCTCAGCATATATTTTTGCTCTGTTCTTTACTACTATCAGTTGTATCGCAGATGAGACCCTGGCCTCACTAGTGCACTGCCGTCAGAATAACAAAATAAAAAAATCGTAAAGACTACGCTACATAGAGTGTTCTACACCAAATCGAACTTTTGCAACCAACACAAAACGAAAACAAAGTTGCACAGCTAAAAGTGCCATGCTCATCACCCACTATGGCAGTGGGACTAAGGCCGTGTGTCCACCAAAGCGTTTTTAGGGAGCTGAAAATGCTAGATGCTCTGCTGAAGAAGACGCCTAGCTTCGGGCGCTTGAGAGCGTTTTTTTCAGTTGAGACATTTCATTGCTATGATACAGAATATTCGCAGCACAGTTTACTTGTAACTGATTTTGCAGATAATTTGTTTCATACTAAAAAAAAAAAATTTCATCCATTTTGTTGGGTTTGCTCTGCTGGTTGATGTCGTTGTAAAGAAAAAATGTTGTGACAGTTGGTCGGTGTGGTTTAGTCACGCCCCTCCTCCACTGTTATTGGACAGTTGGGTAAAAACTGACAGTGATGAGCGCTACTGTTTTATCCAAAGTTTAAAATTTTTCAACTCTCTGCAACCATTAAAAACGCCGGGCGGTCAATGCTTTAGGCCGTGTGTCCACCAAAGCGTTTTTTCACGCGCCTGGCGTTTGTTTTCAATTATCTTCAATGGGAGCGCCGCTTTTTTTAAATGCCATGAGCGTAACGAGGCACTTTTTTACTGGTTGCCGAGAGTTGAAAAATGTTCAACTTTGGATAAAACGCAGTGCAGTTTTTACCCAACTGTCCAATCACAGTGGAGGAGGGGCGGGGCTAAACCACACAGACCAACTGTCACAACATTCAACATAACACATTAAAATCTAGTGTTGAGTGCTCATGTGATATTCTACATTAGTAGTGTTGTGAAATTAATTGTTGCATAATAATCGTGAAAATCATTAAATCGTGATTATTTCTCAGACAATAATCGTACTTACAAAATCCGTAATCGTTGCATCCCTAGTGGTAAGCACACGTTACAGGAGGTCTACAAGTTGAAACGTTTAGCCAAGAGCTGTCCCGAAAAACAAATACAAATGACCAAATGCAAATTTTGCCGGAAATGAACAACTGGTCATTCAAGTCGGAAATGGACTTTGCGGGTGGGCAATTTTATCCTTGAAGTATATGGTCAGGGACATTTTTGCTTATTTTTTTTTTTTTATAATCATATGACAACACCACACAGAAACTCTGCAAATCACACAAACTCTGCATATCATAAAAACAGCGCTAACAATCTATTATCAATCGTTTCCACTAATTGAAACAAAACTATATCAAAAACGTAAACTTAAATGTAAACTAGAAATTAGATGTTAAACTGGCAAAAACTGAAATAAAATTAAAGCTACAACCGATAAAAATTACCAATGAATGGCACACATCTCAATGACTAAACTTTTAAGTGAAAACTGAAAATATAAAAATAATAGCTAATTTGAAGAAATATGAATAAATAAATACCATAATACTAACTAATTTAAAGGCCAGACTTGGACGTTAACATGTTGCTACCATAGCATTATGATACTGTAAAATATGTAAAACTTAGTTTTTCAGGTTTAAGGGAATTATAAAAAATTTCCCTTCTTTAAACAGCTCATCCCAATGAATTATGGGACAGGCTGCTCAGGCTTCATGCAAACCTGTCTCCTCTCAACAAGCTACATTAGGACTAAACAGGATTTTTGTATTTAAAAACAGTGGATGTATACCAAGGTATCTGCATACTCACGTGTGCCTTTATCCGGTCATGCAGCAAGGACATCGGAAGCTTGCTCTGTTTCATCACTACTCTGTACGGACTTTTCTTTACTGCGTTCATCTCTTCTTGGAATTTCTGCAATGATGACTGCTTGATGACACGTGTATTAGCTGCACAGGGAGCACATGAGAAAAACAAAATAAATATTTATATATTAATCCTAATCCTATTTGGAAAAAAAGAGGACAATTTAGTCACATAGTCAGTCACAGTAGATTAGGATTCATTAAAACTCTAAAATGGATTGCTCTTACCGAACCACTTGATGTTGGGCTCAACTCTGGCCACCGTTCCAGGAGCAACTGTGTTCTGGTACTGCAAGGGCTTGATCACCTTACCTCGATTGTTGCTGTGAGCATAATAATGGAAAAAAAAACATGCATGTTTTATCAATTAACTTGAGTTCTTGTCAAAACCTCACAACCCATTACAATACATGTAAATAAATACATGCTTGCAAATATGTAGATGTATGTTGGATGTACTGCAACGGCTAAGATGTATAATTTTGTGATTTCATTAGAGTAATTGACAGTATTTTTGTTTTATTTTATTTGTATGGCTCTCTGTCTTGTATCACTTTGTGGACCCCAGGAAGATTGGCAAGTTGCAACCACTTTCTGGAAGCTAATGGGGATCCGAATAAAGAACTAGTGTTTGTTGCAAATCTGAATCTTGTATATGTAATGTTGTAAATCACAGGTCAAACTGTACCATCTCTGCTTCTGTCTGTACATATTCAACCGTCGGATGGTGGCACGGTCCCTCATGTTGTTCCCTCCAGCTCCCTTGACTCGGTCTGTAGGGTTGGGAATGTCAAAATAATATGGATAAACATTGTTATACACACAGGGACATTATTCAATCTACTTTAATTTTGGGTGAACTGTGATAGTGTGTTCAACTGGAACACAAGGCTTAACAGAATGGGTCCTTGTGTCAGTTCAGAGGTCTACCAACTGCTTTGTGTGAATGGATAATGCAAAATTTCTGTTTTTAAATATTTGTTTTAATTAATATTATGTCAAATATCACGGCTTGTGTGTACACCTCAGTTGTCTTCAGTATATTTTATCTGCCACATACATATCAACAATGAATGTTCAAAAAGTAAGGGGACAGTGAGATTTTGAAAGAAGTCTCTTATGTTCACTAAGGTTGCATTTTCTTTTAATTAGAAATACAGAAAAACATTAAACTGTTTCAATTATAATATACTTTATAATGCCATTTATTCCTGTGATGGCAAAGCTAAATTTTCAGCAGCCATTACTCCAGGCTACAGTGTCCCATGATCCTTCAGAGATCATTCTAATATGCTGATTTGATGCTCAAAACATTTATTATCATCATCACTGGTGAAAACAGACCACAATATTCTGCTGTCAATGATTCTTTGAAGAATAATTCAAAAGTACAGCAATTATTTAAATTCCTTCACTGCCACTTTTTGGATTAATTGAATGCATCCTTGCAGAATATTTTATATTAATTTAATATATATTATTGTATTATAATGTGTAGCATGTCATTTGTCTTTGTCACATTTAATACGTGTGTTAACTTCAGATCGGTCATGTGGTCATATATGCTAATTTATTTTATTTATTTATTTTTTTCTTTAGGCTACCTTTGTTTACAAAACAAAGATAGCCTTTTGTTTGTAAATAGTTTTTATATGAACAGAAATAATCCGATTAATGGCAAAATGGCACTGAAAGTAACACATCTTTGGGAAAAATGTGACAACCGCTGTAAGTGGCAGCTCCATAATGAAAATCATTCAAACAATGGTAGCAATCTAGTACGATTTTTTATGTTATAATTGTCATGTTAAAACAAGGCACGTTTGGCACACTGACAGGGTCATCACAATACAAGTGCCAACAGCCTCTGATGGGACATTTATAATGCTTGACAGATGCCGTTATTACACGCAATCAACGAGTTACCCTGAACGTCTAGAAGCAAGTTGCTTTACAACATATAATGTTAAATATAAAACGACTCGTGTACTTCTCAACAAGAGTTGGCTAATAGCTTAGCCTTGCTAGCAGTTTACATTCAGACCAGCGGTTCATTTCATCTTACCGGGATTACTACTGGAGGTTGAGGGATTTATGGAGCTTTTCCCCTTGTATTTTGGTTTAACCATTGTGATCGATTACTCCGGTACACTCCCAATACTGTAAATATAGAAATAAAGCAGTATTTCAGTCCACTGTAGATTTCCACGTGTTACAATAAACTATAGACCAGGAAGTACGTCATCAATCAAGCGACGGATTTTCTTTCTTTTACCGTTGACAAAAGTCAGTAGCTCCGACTCATATCAAGCATTGGTATGCAATGTCCCAATGTAAACATACCAAATTGTATTTGAAAAAGATTTATTGTATGCTAAGTATACTGCAAGTATATTTACATACATGTATGTAGGCCTACTTAAATACCCTGCAATTGTACTGTTGGTATAGGCCTGCTAATTTGATAAACTTATGTTAAATTGGAACAACTAATTTTTTGCACTTATCTGGAAATAGTGCTGAGGTCCGACCATGGGTCCAACTAAAGATAAACATAATGTTTGATTGATTGTGTAACTATTGCAAGTATACTTTAGGTACACTTTAAATAGGCCTATTAGCCTATAGACTGGTGTAGGAGGCTACTGTAGATCATATATTTACTAAAAGTAATATTAAAACTAATTTTATGCGTAATATTAAGAAATGTGCATTGTGCAATAAAAAAAAGTACTCAAAAGTTTCATTATAATATTTATATCAGTAGCTTCATGCATTATGTCAGAAATGTTAATGGATTTGTATGAGAGAGTATACAGTATTTGCATTTTTAAAAATGCTGACAGTTTAACTTGATATGAAAAAAAAAAAAACTGTACCATGATTTAAAACTAAAGAAATTGAGTTGCGGAAACTAGCCTATATAAACTTGTACTTATAAATTCATCAATAATTTAAATGAAATATTGATATTTGTTAAGACAAATGCACATATTGTGCACCAATTACTCATATTTTAAAATACCATGTTTTTTTCCTTCTTTTATTTGTTCAGTATATTGGGTCTGAAGCAACACAAAGGTAAACCAAAGCTAGCCCACATGTAACAATGTATTTTTGGACAAACACAGCATCATTAAAGTTATTGCTCTCATGCTGTTAGATTAACAGGGAAACATTAATTTGGGAAACTCTTTATTTGCTATAAATATCAGAATGACTATTTCTGGGCCAATATAAGCATTACACTCATGTAGGACTCTGTATACCCAGAAGAGGGCATGCAGTGATAGTTATTGCTAGTTGCATTATCCTGTTCCATGTCTTTGAGCTTCAACCAGTGTCTGTTCGCTACATTTAATTAAGAATCTGTCTTCTGCTTCTGGACCGATTAAAGAGAGCAGTTCGAACTCTAAATTTTGATGCTATATATGATGTATGACTTCTTTCAGCACATGTTCTCCTCTAGATTACATTCCACTCAAGTTAAAGAAAACAAAGAGGAAAAAGGAACAAAAAACTTTGTATATTCTCAAAATGGTATTATAGAAAACATTACACAGATGCATCTAATAAACCGTTTTCAGCTTGGAGCAACGCTAAATTTGTGTTGTTTTGCCAGCCGGTGTATCGTGTAAACTTAAAACCTGCACAGAGCCTGTGTGGAATGCGTAGATAATGGCTTCTGGGGCGGCCAACACAGTCAATGAGAACCAGGCATACCTTGTATAATACTAGTATTCTATAGACTTAGGATCAGATTTACTAACAGCTTGCGTCAACGCAAACCCTCCAATGCACAATAACTATAAAATACGTTTAATATTAAAATACAATTAGGTTGTGTTAACATGACCTCAGGACATCTTAACAATCCATATTCATTTGACTTGTTTAGTAAACCTGGCCCTAAAAATCCAGGACAATAGCTTATCAGAGATCACCTTTAATAGTTTAATATCGCAGAATATTCTATAAGACTAAAACTCGTATAGTCTTTATAACTCGTAGAGTCTTTTTTTATCACAGATTTGAAACAGTTCAGACTGATGTTTTTCTTCAGTTGTTCGCTTTCACTCAGTTAAAATCAAATGTGACAACATCAGAAATGCTCTGCAAATAAAGTTCGACCAAGAGAGAAAACAAAAACAAAGCATAAATTATTTTCAGATTTAATTTTCCGTTTTAAGACCCACATTACTCTGATGTCCAGCTTGTCAAGCTGACATCATAAAAGAGAATTAGAGGCAAATCATCATGATTTCCTGAGACGTTTTCTCAGAGGACTGTCTGGCTATTAAATTGAAGTTGCGGTTACGTGAAATTCGATATTTTGTTTCCAATCCCTTTATGAAATCTGCATGACATAAAGGGACATTTTGCTCATTTAGATGAATTCTTGGCATAAACCACCATACACTTTTGCAAAATTAGATTGGATTCCAAAAGTATTTTGTTGTCTATTAAAATTTCTCATCAATAATATTTGAAAATACTGATGGCATATTAATTAGTTGCCCTGAATATTTGAATAAGCAAAAACAGTTATTTAAATTATGTCTAGAGAAGGATTTTATTAACATAAATAGTATGCAAATAACTCAAAATTGCATTGGAAAAGTCAAACCAAAACACGTTTGATGCTAAACACTATATAATAACAGCCCGATATTGAGCTGCGTCCTAAAATAAAATATTCAGCATGTATTATCCTGTGTTATTGAGCAATTCAACAGCAGTTGCAAACAGGTGCTCCAACAACCAATGCCAGAGTCAGAGGTTTTTTAAGATAGCTTGCTGATAGGTCAACTTTTTTCTGTCAGGGAGAGAGAATTTGCTTGTTTGATTTTTCCGTCAAGATTGGGTAAAGTTGCAGGGTCATGATATCCTTTTAGCTATTCACTTAATCTGTTCTCGGCATTGCCAGTAAACAGGCAGCCGCATGGGAGAAAGTAATGATGGATGAAGACTAAAGCCTTTGCTGGATTTTGGATGTGTCTGGCTGGTGGCGGGAAATGCACTAAGCGGGCTATTTGTTCAGGGTACCTTTATCATTCAGGTGTATGCTTGACTGTGATAAATAACTCATACTTCTACATCAATAACATTCTTTGCATTTCATATTTCTAAAGCAGAATAGGAAAGTTAAAAAACTTCGTTACTTGTTGGTTATATACAACCAAATCTATCTGAATATATCGAACATAGTAGAGGAGGTGAACAATTCTGTTTTTTTTTTATAAGAATACGGCCTATAATCTGCTTAATTATTAAAATTCAAGATTAAATTGTATCTTATTTACTTTATAATACCAAATATAATTGAATGCACTCATATTTGTTTAAATGTCACTTATATTGGTAGCACTTTACAATAAGGTTTCATTTGTTAACATTAACTAACAATACTTCTCCATTTATCAATCTTAATGTTAATCTCAAAATGTACTAATATCAAAAGTTGCATTTATTAACATTAGTTAACGCACTGAACATGAACATTAAGTATTATTAAGTAACATTAACAAAGGTTTATAAATCCTGTATTTATATGTTGCTCATTGTTCATGTTAATCTATGCATTAACTAATGTTAACAAATAAGCCCTTATTATAAAGTGTTACTGACATATTTAATAATATAAAGTATGTGAGCATAGTATACACAAATATATTATAATTTATATTACAATAAATATATAATTATACTTGTGATGATTATAATATATTAAAATTGTGTTCATGAATTAATATTCTTCACAAATATTTCAGTTTTTCCTTTTTAATAAATGTGCTACATTTTCACAGATGTTTTCTGCTTTGTTATTGGTGTATGGAGTGTAGATTGATAGGGAAATAGAGTAATTTAAAGTAGTTTAATTTAAGGAAGCAAAAAACGTGTTTGAATATAAAACGTGTTTGAATATGTTTGCCTGCCACTGAAGTAATAATATTCAGTGTTAATATAAACCTGATTTTCCAATGGCAACTTTAACAATCTGATGATTATTATAGAAACGGCCAAAACAAAGCCAATGCAGGTTACAACTATGTGTCATATAATCATCTGTAGTGCAGAGATGGATATCTAGCTCCAGAGTTACCTTTCAACAGTCATGGCAGGCCTACAGCCTCCTTTTGCACTGTGCAAATCATAGCAGAGTCACTGGTAAATGATACAAGATTAACGTTTACAAAAACAATTGAAAGCAGACAGTTTCTCCTTTTTTAAAAGGCCAAATGCTATCAATTATTCTCATCAGCAAAGGAAAGTACATGATGCTATACTTAAAGCAGGATTTTAGGCTAAACTGGTCATTTAACCATCAAGATAAATTCCCTATTGGCAACACTTGACTACTGGCAAAACAGAGAGGCAAAACACTAACAGACTAAAGACATAAAACAGTTGCTCTTTTATGCAAAAGCAAAAGGATGAAGGCACAAGTACAAGCAAATTAACACAGTTTGACCTCACATTTATTATCTACATTTTATTCTTTTATTTTAAGAACCTGCAAAGGAAATGAAAATATCTGTTTGCACACTTCGTGACTTTGTACATTAATACAGGAAGCCATAGACAGTTCTCACACCAGTGATAGGTGGTAAATATTTTAAGGCGAAAGCCAAAATCTTTAAATTCGTTGTTTTTCTGGCATTCAGAGACATTCAGCAGTTTGATTGCAGCTGCTTTCCAATGAAAAAGCCAGAGGGTGATTTTTTTTTTTTTTTTGTATCAGAGTGGCAAACATGTGGAAATGCAATATGACCATCATCTTTATATCAACAAGTGACACCACAACTCATTGCTGACAATCATGGAGGCTTTCTAGAGACTTTACATTTTGTAACATTGTAAGTTTAACAGAGTTAGCAATAAACCTTTTGCTGCTGTAGCTTCATAAGATAAGTCGGTAACACTTTACAGTAGGTTTCATTTGTTAACATTGGCTAACTACATTACTTAACATGAATTAATAATGAACTGCAATTCTACAACATTTAATAATCTTTGTTAATGTTAGTTTCAAAATTACTAATACATTATTAAAATCAAAAGTTTTATTTGTTAACATTAGTTAATGCACCGTGAACTAACATACCATACTTTATTTATATAGCACAATTTAAACAAACAGCAAGGTTACCAAAGTGCTTTACAGAGATAAAAAAAAAAGATAAAGCAAAAACTCACATCAACAATGACAGAAACAACGAAGACCGCAGCAGCTCTCATGGCCAGAGAATAAAAAAATGTTTTTAAACAAGATTTAAAAGTGTGGAGTTTGGGTGCCATTTTAATATGAACGTGAACAAACAATTGTATAGCAACAAATGTATTGCTTATGATTAGTTCATGTTAATACATTAACTAACGGTAACAAGGTAACGTGTCACCAAAAAATCCAAACATTACTTTATGTAAATATGACTTTTACCCGATTAACATGTTTCTGAGTGTAAAAAATGACACTCAGAAAGAAAAACTAAACAAACTATGACAAACACATAAAAACATAAGTGATACGAGACCGAACAGGATTTTTTTTTTTTCCGGGTTTATGAATGTAAACATGCTTCTGGTTAAACAAAAAAGAATCCCAAATTCACAATGATCTTTTATAAACACAGTTCTTTGGTCAGACCATAATATGCTGTGGCAGAAATCATAAACATTTTTTTTTTTACTAAAACAGTTGAGCTCCTACTTTGTCACTAGACACATTCCAGATACAGAAGATGCTATTCTAAAAGGTATGTCTCTTTCAAATCGAAACCACGCCGCTGGATAATCAAAACATGCCTCATGACAGATATTCCATTACACTGCACAGTCAAGTCGAGTTAAATCGCTGTGTCTTATGATTTCATATGCCCAACTCTGGATAATATTTCAGCAGGACACGTTACTCATCTTTATCGGACAGCAATGTACAGTTAGCATGAAGCACTGCAGGCTTCAAATGAAATAAAATACTTTTTATGTTGTCAGCACAGCCATTTTTTTTAAAACAAATTCTTCTATAACCTTTGCCAATTATACAACGAAAGAAGAAAGGTGTTTGTTAATAAAGTTAAGAAGCCAGAGTTAAAATACAATAAGTTTGTATAATACAAAATAAGGATTTCCTAATATATACATTTTAAATTACTTAAAATAATGGCATTGAAAAGGCCAATGACCATTTAATTGATCATTATTGTTGTACTTTATATATAAAAATGATTGCCTTTACACTGTAATTAACTCTAAAATATTGTAAAAACGCTATGGGGAAAAAAACTGTTAATAGGTTAAGTATTACCATACAAAACTGTAAACGTTTCATGTAATTTTACTGTTAAGAGATTTTAGAAGTGAAGCAGAACAAATGAAATTATAATTTACAGTGAAAAACTGTAAACTGACATTCCCAGCATTCTCTATGTGACACTTCATATTTCAGGGTATTTTGTTCTAATAATTTCTTTGCACATTTAGAATTGTGTAGCAGTTATGCACATTTGGGTTTTATCTCTGTTTATAAACAGAATGAATGCTGTTAACATTTAATGAATGATTATTGCATGTCATGTTTTACCATGATGGCTTACTTCATGATTCATCATGGCTTCCTCTTTTAACACTTGCATAGTATATGTTACTATGTATATATTACTAAGTATATGTAAGTTGCACATTTTCTTGTTTGTAAATTACAGGTTTACTGTAAAATGTACAGGTTGTTCAACATCAACAATTAAAACAATTTAAGAAGCAAGTGAATACATACTGCTAAATGCATGAGGTAACATCTGAGCCAGGACATGTGTGTGTATGTGTGTGTGTTTTTGTGCTTTTTGTGTGTGTGGTGTTACATTAATCCTCTAATGTGTTTATCTTCTGTTAAGTTACTCCTTAAGCTTCCACTTGTTTAGCTCTTCGCTCCCTGGAGCCTCAGTTTTCGCACCACATAAATCACAGGGCAACATTATCTCCTGGCAGCAGCTGATGGAGATAGTGCCAGGAACACGCTCCTTAAACCACCAGTGTTTATGAGGACCCCTCTCCTATGTAATTCACCACAGTAGACAAGGAAATAATATGGTTAATATTTTGATCCTAAAATAGTGCGTGACGAACCCAATGAACTTTACCGTACTCTTTTTTTGGCCCTCTTGGTGGGCCTCTTTATACTGTGTGTCAGCAATGTGTCTGTTTTAAAAAGATCAGCCAGAAGCTCTTCTACTTGTTTCACAGCAAGAAACAGGAAAACATCTATATCTGTAAACCAGACTAGCCAGGAGCATAAGAGCCATCTGAAAAGTGTGGGGGGCTGTGGGAATGCACATTATAGCTTTTATTATAGCTTTTAAATGTTACTAAATTTATTATAAGCTTAGCAGGAATTAAAGCTTGGATGATGACAGAAGATGACACATCAGAGGAAAGAAGGGATGGAGAAAGTGTGCACAGGTTTCGCCTGAAAGTAACTGGTAGGGGAATTGGTGGTGCATGGGTAGTAAGTTGAAGACTGAAGGTAATGAGGAAATGGTCTAAACGTTGAGAGGTTTCACTAGGATATTGTCTGTGATGCAATTGCGTGTGTAGACCAGGTCCAGTTGGTTGCCTGACTTGTGAATACCTGTGGTGATGAGCCATTTGAGATCGAAGGAGGCTAAGAGAGAGGTGAAGTCTGTAGCATACGGCTTCTCTAGATGAATGCTGAAGTCGTCAAAGACTACAAGTGGGATGCCATCCTCAGGTAAAGAGGACAGCAGCACATCCAGCTCCTCTATAAAGCTTCCCAGTTGACCTGGGGGGGCAATATATGATTACAATATGGATCTTAATGGGAATTGTAAGTGTAATAGCATGATCAATTCATTCAAATGAGTTGTTATTGCAGAGAGAAGGGAGGGTTGAGTATTTCCAATTGTTAGAAATTGTTAGACTGGCGACGGGTGTGAGAGAAAGAGAAGTTGTTAGAGAGAGCAGCAGGGGTTGCTGAGTCTTCTGGATGGATCCAGGTCTCAGTCAAGCCCAAGATATTAAGAGTAGAATGATCTGCAAAGGCTGGAATGAAGTGAGCTTTGTTGACTGCTGATTGACAATGTTGATATGGTTGGTCTTGGCGGAATAGATCTGCTACGCTGCTGCTGTTATTGATGCTGATCAAGTACGGGAATTGCAACTGCCAATACATACACACACAATGCTGTGAACAAGCAAGACATGATGCTGCTGTACAATATAACATACATGAATTACCCCTATCAGATCCATAGAGGTGGAGCTACGAAGGTCTACAGCAAATGTCAAACCAAGTATTTGAAGGTTGAGCAGTGAGCTCATTGACTACTGACTGACACAGCATGGAACCAATCAGCTGTGCCTTTTGAATGATAAGATTGCAAGCAGATTGAGTTTGATTGATCAGATTGACCAATCAGCCAATGCCAGTGAGTTTCATGATAGAATTTCATCACATTCAATTTGTAAAATGGAAGTTAAAGTTGCATGAAATGGAAATTGCAGGAAGTTTTATTCCCTATTGTGATGCATTTCTTTGTGAAACTGCATCTCGAACAAGAAAAAAAATGTAGGGCAGGACTTGAATTGTCGATCGGGAATTGACTGGATCATTGGATCGCTGTGGTTTGCAATTGATGTGATCTCATGTAAGTGACAGGTTGAACCTGGATTGATGTGTTTGCTGTGTGTGCAGTCATGCCAGTGGTGTGAAGATGTAGTTTTACCCTCTTTCTCAGCTTCTATGTTCGTCTAAAACCAGTAAATTAACTTAACATATTAAGGCAAGTAAAAAAGCTATTCTATTCTATTCTATTCTATTCTATTCTAACATGCAGTATTTTGCCTGGTATGCTTTGTAATGGATAGTCTGTTCATAAAGTGACTTTGTAGTGTCGATGGCACAACTAATGTTGAGAAAATGTCTATATGCTGGTTTTCTTCAAGACTTGTGTTAATCTAAAGTGTAATGCAAACCGGCTCTCCACCAATCTCAGTTTCACAAACCTCTAGTCCTGCCAGACCAAGTCTGTTTTAAGTCTAGCCTAAACAAACAAGCTTTTCCATCTCGAACAAGTCAGACAAGCTGCCATGAAATTCTAGTCTCTCTTTGCATCACTTAAGTGGATCTGGTTTGCTGATATTCCACAGGTATTTGAAGGGGCATTGGATGTGCTTTTGATGGTCAGGCATCAAAATCTGCATCTTAAAAAATAGCTAACCAAGTACTAATAGCTAAATACCTTAACTGAAAAATAAAACATCAATAAGATTAACAATTTATATGATTTTGTCTATGTTAATCAAAACATATTGATTCAGAAACATTTAGATTTAATGAAGAATCATTAGCTGTGCAATCATAAGTGAATTTATTTCTCTATTTTTCTTATTTGCTCATAAAAAGCTCACATCACAGGGTAACCCGGGAGCCTCTGACTCTAGCGGTTATCTTTTGCCCTTTAACATAGATAGGGACAACAGTGCATGGCATTTAGCTCTCAGTCATGTTCTTTCTGACTTGGGCTTCTGTTCTTTGTTCACTACCTAGACTGTAAAGACTCAGACCCATCTCTCCAGAGGAAGTAAAGTAAAGATCAAAAGAGGGCACACTACTATAATCCATTCTATCTCCTGGACAACATTCAGTTTCCACCCTTTCACTTAGAGGTTAGAGGGGAAAAAAACAGCTCACACAAGAGCTTTTAGAAATAAATGTGGTGGATGTTGATTGAGTGCATAATGTTCAAAATGTCCAAACTTTGTGAATTATAATCCAATGCTTTAAAGGTTTCCAAAGAAACACATCTGTGGTCACTTCTGATCACTGGCTCGCCTGTCTGGCCGAGGAAGAGCAGGTTGAAAACAACCACTAAATTACGGAAAAGTTGTATAATCTCATTTAATTGTAAGAAGTAAAATGTTAGCTGTGTAACTGTGTTACAGAAGAGCCACAGAATAAAACATCTCGAAATTGAATTGGTCATGGAATAATTGTTGGCTGTGCTTTATTAAAATATTCAGAGAAACCGAACCAAAATCATTCAATTCTCCATCCTAATATGATTCCCATTCAACTTCAAGAGGCCGTAAAGATCCCTATCCCTTTGGTTGGATATTACAAAGGGGTTTTACTGCATTGCACAAAACAAATTATTTGCCCTGTCTGTTTTCTATTTTCTGTGGGCCAAAAGTATATCTCGTTCTGCACTCAATCTCTACATCCAACCTGGTGAATCTTTTTTCACGTATCTTGTCAAAGGCTGTACATTGTCAGAGAAGTGTTGTCACTTCTATTTCCCCTATACACAAACACAAATTAGTTTATCGACACAGGCCAAAAATATGCTCCTTTAAATATTGACCTTGAGTGTCAGCAAACTGTTGTTATTTTTCAGGACAACAGGGAAATTTGTTCTGAAAAAGTTATTTCTTCAAATTTAGAGCGGTTAGCCAACTATACTTGGATTCCTTGCCTCCTTTGACCGAGAAATTGAATGACTTTTCCTGTTTCTCTTCTTTGCTCTTTCCTCAGGCCAATGTCTGTTTGACATCAAAATGGCCAGAGATGATTAGTGTTTTGGGCTGATGATGTTTATTCAGAAAATGGCCTTGACTTTTCATCAGCTGTTTCCAAGAGGATTATATGTGGTTTCAGTAAATAGGGGTCTATGACTTGTCATATGTCAGCCTCAATCACACATTTAAATGCTTTTCTGCCTACTATAGAGCCATCATGGATTTGTTTAAAACCAGTGCCTTTTGCAAGGTGAAAATATCACTAAGCACACATTCTGGGTCAGTGTTACAAGGTAGGCATGTTGTTTGTGTGACCTCAAACTTGTGTAGCCAATACACCATATCTGGAATTAGCCTTGTTCTATGATGCACCTATTGCTAATCAATCCATCACACTAGATTTCTCCTGGGATGTAAATTTACATGAATAATGGATGCACTTTAGATACAATACACTGCTTTCGAATAATTTAATGATCTCTGCCAAGGTGGTCATAAAAAAAAACTATTTAAGTGGCTTGTATATGTGAATCAGACCATATTTCTTATTCAAATGTTTCTTTGTTTAAAATGTTACTGAATCTTGGAACTTTCTGTTTATTTCTGTTCCTGTCTTTTTTCTTCTTTTACCAACAATGATTTGTGGGTTCTTATGATCAGCACAATGTTCAAAGTTAAACACTTTGAAATAAAATGAAATGAAACACTTATGTTTATTTTGTGGCACAAAGGTGCCAAAGAAATCAACTCAAGGTTTATTGACTTTGATCAAAAGAAGCACAATTTCTTTTGTGCTTCTGTTTGCACAGAAACTTCACAAAAGATTGGTTGGTATTTATAATGTGGATGCCTAATACAAATGTTGTTGGGATCTGTTCCTCACACAGCATCTCCTTTTATGTTCCGCAGAAGAAAGAAAGCCATACAAGTCGGGGCTGCTAACACAACACCGTTTTAACAGAAAACGCTTAAGTTGTCTCCATGCCAACTTTTAAGAACACCGATGGTGTGCAAATGCGTATTACGAATTCATTCTATAAGTATGAGGTATCCGCGTTTGAATATGTGTGCAGGCATCAACAAACTTCTTGTCTGACTTTAAAATTTCGAATACAGAATTTTAGCGCTTCAGCATAGCCGCATGAACCGCAATTATCCTGACAATGATTATCTGGTAAAGGGAAGTAGGCCTTCACAGGGAGGGACTAGTGACACTTCAGGACTGCGTTGTCGTCACGTCCAGATGCAGGTCCTTCATCAGATCTGGATACGACCTGGATCCGGCGGACTGCGGTAAACCTCGGGTCTACCTTAAAAAAAAGGATCAACCACCTGCAGTCGATTTTGATATTCTAGGTATTATCAACTAGCCTGAATTTTGAGATCTCAATACACGTGTCGTGAAGGACTATAATGCATTAAGAGCTCGCTAAAGTAAACACTAATTTATAAAGGCCTGTCTCATATACAAGCTGGTGCAGTTCAACGATTTGGGAAAATAAAAGCCCGGGCTATTATTTGAAGTTTTACGGCAGATAGGGTTTTGTTTATTTTCTTCTAATAGGGTTGAAAAATAAGCAGATCTAGCAGCTTTTAAGGCCTCTCTGTATGCAATCGAGCTCTCCTTCCATGAAATGCGAAATACCTCTAGTTTAGTTTTCTTCCAGTTTCGATCTTTTTTATGGCTGCTCTCTTAAGGGCCCGAGTGTGCTTGTTGTACCACGGCATTGGACTATAGTATTGTCTTTAATCTTCTTTAAGCGCAAAGAAGCAACTGTGTCTAAAGTGCTGGAAAAGAGAGAATTAAGTTTCTGTCGCAATATTGTGTTATTCTAAGCTATCTAGGATGCTGAGATGATGAAACTGATCAGGAAGATTATTAATAAATCAATCTTTAGTGGCAGAAGTGATAGTATAACATTTGTAACACGTTTGTAACAATGTTGTAACAACATTTGCATCTTTTTCATTATCTACGTATATTAAAATCAACAATTAGGACTTTACCTGCAGCCAGTACTAACTCTGATAGAAATTCATATGATGACATATTTAAAAATTCTGGTTGAACAATCCCTTTAAACTTTCAGATTTGTCAAGATGACCTTCAGTATTAATGGAGGGTTACCAGACATTCAGTATGAGAAAATGTTCTTAATTTGCAGCCAGCTCTCAGTAGAGATGACGTTTTAGGCCAAATATAACATTCAGTCTGATGCATGCTCCAGGACCTGTAAATTAGAGTAAGGTCCCCCATGCTCCTCT